CTTGATGTCAGTACTGAATTCCTCGATCAGGTCGGCGCAGAAGCGTTGAAGTCGTAGTTGTACAAGGCGTTCGGTATAGCGTTCAGCTCCATTGTGTCGAACGCTTTTCTGAACTCGATGCATGCGTTGCAGAGGGGAAATCGGTATGTCTTGCATTTCTCTGTCAACCATTTCAAGAAGTAGATGTGGTCTATGGTGAAGAACTTGTTTGGAAATCACATTGTTCTTTACAAGCGCGCAGTTCATGGTCTTTTTCCGGATACGGCTGAGACTGATTCTGGTAAAGACCTTGTAACTTTGTGTCAGGAGAGCGGATGGATCGATAGTTTTGGCAGTCTTCAGCATCTTCAGCATCACCTTTCTTGAATAATTGATGATTTTGGCGTGGTCTTAAACCTAATGTAAATCGTTCAGAAAAATCCTTGAACAGAGTCATTCCTCTTGACACCAGATGTTCCTGTTTTATGCATTTCCTGCCAGAACATCTAACACCTGATCTTCTTGACTGCCTAAGTGATATCAGGAACGGTTTCTGGTTTACCTTTACCTTCGAGGAACAGAGGTTATCGTATGGCCTCGTGCAGATCGGTTTGGGACAGGATCTTTATTTCTTGTTTCTCCTTCGTCTTCAGTTTTACCGGAGTGCGCTCATATAGATTGTGCTATTTTTCGCGGCCTTCGGGCTATTAATCTTTTACGCAGCTTCTCTTAACTTAGTGCCTCTGCACTCACCATAGACTTCCCAGATGTTTTTCCGTATTTCCTTGCACAGCGAAGTGTATTCGTCGCCCATTTACCCAGCAGCCTTCATTCGGACTCTTTTGGCTAACAGTTGTATCGTTTCATGGGAGGGGGTGTCTTATTTTTTCCGCGACATTACTGACCGGTTAAATGACCTGATAGTTGATTTAATGACAGTATCGATAAAATGCTGACAGTCTCAATCGATACCACTGCTGATGTCTATTGCGAGGTTCACTTGAGAAAGTGTGTCTGCTAATACTCAGGATCGAATATTCGTCCAGTGGCGCTAGGTCTTTGAGCCCTTCTAACCTAATCTTCTGTAGCGCAATCGTTTTATCTGAGGAGCATGCTAATCACTGATCTGTCCCCGTGAAAAAAATGTTTTCTTCAGTGGCAGACGCATGTGTTATTATCCGTTTTTTGTCTACCAACACGTAGTCGAGTTGGTTTAAGATCGTTCCATTAAGGATCCTCCAAGTCCGCCGCTTCTCAGCTTTTTCGAAC